CAAGTGGCTGTGCGCCTAGCGTCGAAGTCAACCGATATTCGATGTTAAGCAAACAGAGTGCGGAACCGCTAGGATGGGTGGGGACCATCCAGCCTAGCGAATAGTTACAACAACAACAAGCGTCTGGGGTAAGGAGTCGCCTGCCATCAGCCCCACTGAAGAGTCTAGGCAGCGACTCTGAGACGAAACGCACAACCTTTCCTCACCTTACCCACATCATCACTTCCTACATTATCCTCGCATTATCATCGCCATTTCAATCCCTTCAAGCTTGTAGCGACCTATAGTTCCTCGAGTACGAGTTTCGAACACCAATTTGCACAAGCCGCAAGTGGCTGTGCGCCTAGCGTCGAAGTTAATCGATATTCGATGTTAAGCAAACAGAGTGCGGAACCGCTAGGATGAGTGCCGTGTCCAGCATAGCGAGTAGTAGTTAGAACAACAAGCGTCTGGGGTAAGGAGTCGCTGCCATCAACCCCACTGATGAGTCTAGGCAGCGACTCTGAGACGAAACGCACAACCTTTCCTCACCCTACCCACATCATCACTTCCTACATTATCCTCGCATCGTCATAAACACTTTCAAGCCCTTCAAGCTTGTAGCGACCATTACACCTTCAAAATTAATACCAACGCCATCTACACAATCTTTCTGTCGAAAAGTACGATTCCTGTAAATCGACACCGCAAACTGTAAATTGTTATTCTATTTTTATTATCACTAGGGAGATGTTATTACCTTGTTTACTTGTTGATAGAGATGTATATATAGACTCCATTTTAGAATTAGTTAGTCATTCCTTAATTAACATTTGTAGAAAACAGTTATCTATTTTTGCTATAAACTTTATTGTTATATAATTTATTATAATTTATTAAAAGTTACTAAAGTCACGAAGTTCTTATTTATTTGTAGTATTATAATATTATCATCATAATCACTACAACCTCGTAAAACAGAGAAATTTTCGTTTACGAAAAAACCTAATTTAGCGAAATTAATTGTGAACTTGTGATTGTGTTACTCTAATTAGACCCTTAGCTTTCTTTTCATACACCATTTAACCCTTAAAATGCAAAAATAAGTATTTTTATAATTAATTAGTACCGCTGAGTTACCGCTAGATGGCGCCACCATGTCCATTTTGTGACAGTTCGCACTAATTAAGAGGAATAATTTACAAATTTTTTATATACTTCCTTAAAATTAGGCTCTCCGCTTTCTTTCTATGTGTGTTTTGTCCTAGAAAAACGTGTGTGTAAAAAGTTGAATTTTTTTTTCAATAGATCGAAGGATGTCTTTGTCGCACACTGTTGCTTTCCTTGTCTAGCGTCATTAGACAAGGAGGGCACTAGCGTGCGACAAGGGCAAACATGTAAATGCGGAAGACAAGGAGAGCAACAGCGTGCGACAAGGAGGGCAATAGCGTGTGACAAGGATAGCAACATAAATTAGTTCCACCTTTTCGTTGCTACGCAGTGCTAGTGTTTTAAGGTCCAGAAATTGACCAAATTTTTATTTGCAAAAAAATGGAATTAAGAGAATCAATTTGCAAGCTTTTGCTGTTGTTTTTCTCAAATTAAATCCTCAGCTTTTTTCCTATATGTCTTTTGATCTTTAGAAACGTATGCATAAAAGTTTACAGATTCTACTCTATAGATCGAATATGTAATTATTTAACTACTCGTAACTATAATTTTAAACCACATAGAATGCCAATTAATTGACATTAAAATAAATATTAAATAGATATCAAACAGATCTAAGAAATATTCGCAATAACTGTTTTCATACATATTTATTAACTTACATAAATTGCTATAATAATCTATAGATCGCTTTAAAAATACAATACATTGAATAAAAAACGTTCATTGTATATTTACAATTTATAAATTTAAATCTTGTACAATACGCAATTGCATCTCAAACAACGTACGTTCTTTTTCTTTTTTTTTTTTTATATTTAAAGAAATAGGTATATACAATGTCCAGAAGTGTTTTCTATAGTTTAATAAGTACAAAGAATTTATTAAAACTACATGACCAGTGCCGCATTAGCATATATTCGTATGCTTCATAGAAATCAATTGCAACATCCGTTAATTCCAATACTTGGATAATTTTTAATAAAGAAATCTTTACAAATGTAATAACCAATCAATGTAATCAATAAAAGTTACATTATAGAGAACAATACGACAATGGTCAAATACACATGACAATAATACTAATTGCAATACAGGCTGAAATATATTTCTGAGAATACAAATTTTTTTAACAATATCACAGTGTTGGTTTCTCGTCCGTTGGTTCCTCCTTTATGGGATGATTACACTCCATTAATGCAGGATTTGCCACAGCAATTATGTTGTCGCCCCGCGAAGCTATTACCTGCATTTGGATCAAATTGAGAGTTAAAGTTGACTTGATTGATAAATGTTCAATTACTCATTTTGTATTTACTTAAATTAACGTCACTGTGCATGTATTCTTATCATTTATTAATCAATAAATAATAAATTGATCTCAACTTTGCTACCTTAAGATTGAAATCACTTTCCTTGTCCGTGTTATCCGCTTCAGCTTCATTAGTGTCCTGCAAACGACGAATATTGTTAACTTCTATCAATCACGATACATACCCTACATTAGAGCAGTTCATTCGCTCACGTGTATCGATGAAGACTCCTCGTTCGAGAAGGAAAGTTGACTGTCAGAGTCGCTGATCTCCTCGATACTCGCACTGAACATACCATTGTTATTCTTCTTCCTCCAAACTGGACTAAAACAAATGCAAATGTCTGAACATCAATATATACTTGCAGAGTCGACAAAGTTTATGATAACACAATAACCAAGATTTTGGCGATAGAAACTTATGTATTTTATAGCACATTATCCATCTACGAAGGAGCATGGAGAGTATCGAGATCCATTTGAGCTCAAAGTAATCACCTTGAAGATCTATGTCTTCTGATTGTTGAGTTACTTATGTCCATTTCAGGGCAACGTAGATCCAACTCCTCCTAGAACAGTGAACTGCTACAGACAGTAGAAGGTGACAGATGTAACGTAGAGAATGAAAAACAGAGGAGAGCTGATAGCTATATTTGATCACTATATATACACAACTCGTAAAGACACCAGGAGCAAAGCATGGAGTCCCAACGAGTGTGGTTGAAAACAATTCGTTCTAGATGGTAATTTCATATTTTCTCGTTTTTCTAAAAATTTGTTAATTTGACAAACATAAAGGTATGCAAACAATTAGTGCGAAAGCCATGCATGTTACGCAAAAGCTATACTTGACCTTTTCCGCCTGTGCTTCACGTATATCAATTGTAGTGGTAGTTTACATGTTGCAATTGTTTACGTGCTGGGTGCATAGTTAGTTGTTAGCGTTCATGCGAGTGCAGCAGCTCGTTAATATGCCAACAATTCCAGATCAAATCACAACTATGGGAGTCCATCAAGAATTTTGGAATTATCATTATTTTCAAACTGTATATAGTTTTTCCAACTATTCGCAATACTTTAAAAAAATCGTCGATTTTATCCCGATTTTATTAATCATCACTTAATGATTTCCTTTAATTACTGATCATAAAAAATATACAAGTATTGTTTCAACTTATCTAGCAGTTGATATTGTGTACGTTAGAAGGAAGCTTTTTTGATCGTTTTTCTCATACTAAATTGATCGAATCTTTAAATAAGAATATTCAACATAATTTCCAATGTAATTTAGGTATTATGAAATCTTTCCTATCTAATTTTTTCATTAATCGTATAAACATAGGTCGCATTTAATTCATACGAAAATCCCTGACTTTGTCCCAAGTTTATGATGATTCTGAACTGGAATCACTTGTACATGGCTTATTATTATGGTCGAGGTGAGCTAACCTGCGTCGCATCTTCGTTCTCACCCTCAAGCTCGAGCTTTTGCCGCTTTGTACGCTCGGGTTCGTTTTCTTCGCCGTTCTCACGTGTTCTCGACACAGACAAACTAAAGCATTTCAAATATGAATACAATGTCCTGATTCAACTTCCAAAATTACACGTAAATATTTGATTCATCATTTTAAATCTTCAATCTTTTTTAAATTAATGAAAAGAATCGAGCACAAGTACAATTTTATCTTTATTTAAGAAAAACCGCACAAATATTTGTGGCTTTTTGTTACCTACTGCCTCTTTTAAATTCTATCACCTACATCGACAATACACCTTCGATATTTCCATCTTAAATAAGTTAACAATATTTTTGATAAGAAGCTGAAGATACTTACTAATGATTTTTTGAATAATGATACCCAGAATCTCTCACAACACGTCGGGCCAAAGGAAAAAGTTCATCTCTTCTAGTAAGTAGGGCAGGTACGAACCTGCATATTTGTGCAGCAGCCTCGTTCACTGACACCTCGTGCAGTGTCAGTGGTTTCTCCGGTTTCCTCTTACAGTCAAATCTCCCATAAATTGCTGCGTATTTTCGAATCTCCTCCATTCTACGTGGATCGCTATCGGGCATAGCCATTACCATCTGCAATTACAGTAAACACAATAGGATTGCATAAAATTGATAAAGATTTGTAAATCCTTGCAAACAAGTATAATATATATATATATATAAAAACGTGATATTTACTTCTAAATTTTTGCAAATCTTCTTCTTAACGTTATGAGGTTTTGGGTCCACGGGTCGAATGGTAGCTGCAAGTCTCTCAGCCGCCTCTGCAAGTCTTTGTATCTGAGATTGCAAGAGGGTCGGGGTGGGTTGCGTTGGACTCGCAGGTGCACCACCACCGCCACTAGGACTTGGCGTTGTACCGCTCCCGCAGGACGACTCGCATGTTCCTACCTGAAAGTAACAACATTTATCCAATTATGTAATTCGTTCACACGAAGCTATTGACACTAAAATTACCAAACTAGTCAAACTGATCGTTTGAATATATTCGTTTAGATATTTTATAAATATAAAACAGTGTATTTTTTTGAGACTTGAACGATTCTTCGTAAAATACATTAATGAAAGCTTGTCTACCCTATTGTATTCTAGTGATTTTCTGTTTCTTGTTAATTTAACGTCTCTATCTCATCTCTGATGAGAAATTTTATCCCTTAGTCGGAAGTTCTAATGTCAAAGGGGGCATTCCTCTGTAAGTGTTGAAAAATTTAATAATTTTCCTAATAAATCCTTTTCAAAAACCGTAGTATTATTTGAATTACAATTTCTTTCACAGTGTATTTAGTTGTTTTCATTGTACAGTGTTAATTCATCTTTTCTTGGTTCTATTTCGCCGGCAATGAAGGCACATTTGAAGAATCTGATGAAACATATGCAGATCTTTTGACTGAATACACTGAACACAGTTAGCTCTCGGGTAAGACGATCCGTTTTATTTTCACAAATTACTTGTTCAATTTTAAATCAAAGACGATAACAAAATTATTGTTTCTTGGCTTCTAATACATGAGAGAGTTACTTTGCTAAGATACTACAGGACGTGCACAAAAATCACCTTCTACTGTAACAAATCCAAGTAATTTCTTTTAATTTCTTACAGATTAGAGTACACTAATTTAATTCGAAATTAATAAAATTAGTTGTTTCTTATATTCTGATGCTTTGAAATAGGCTTTTCGCCTATCCTGTGCTTCTTCTGTATGAAAAAAAAAAAAAAAAAAAAAAAAAAAAAAAAAAAAATAACAAAGAAATTACGCTTATCTTCGCCTTAGCGTGGCCATCTCTTACCCTATGTCTATCAATCGAGAGATATACCTGTAATACGCCAGGACTGTGAGAAGTGGCGTAAGGCAGAGGTGTATTGGGGCTTGGACTTTGTCGAAAGGTCGTCGAGGCCACCGGTGCTGTCACACTTGTAACGGATACAATGGGGCTGGTGCTTCTGCATGGTAACGGTGTTAGGGACACGTGCGACGAAACGTAGGGCGTAGGAGTTGGTGTTTGCGTGGTGGTCGCGAAGCCTTGAAGATTCTGCACTTGCGGCCTAGGGCTCACGCAGGGGAATCCAATGCCAGTTGGAGCTTTGCACCCGGCTGTCGTCGGCACCACTGGCGTTTGGAAAAGCGCTGTGAGAAAAGAAATTTTGATCGATCCATTAATCGTCTTAAAATTAACTTTCTGACTTGTCGTAAGATGGAGAATATCTGTGCTTCCGATAATGGAACCTTTCTTTTTTTTTTTTTCATTTTCTTTTTGTTTTTATTGCGTTCATCTCGTACGTTTCTTTACTCTCTTGCAATTACGTTCCGAACTGAATTTCAGACATTTAAGAATTCGATATTGTGGTACTTTACAAGGATTTGTGAGCCACTCTTGCAGAGCTTTCTGAAGTCGTCTGACGTGGAGGGGCTTGCTTGCCATACCAACGAGCGCCATAATTTCTAGAAATTCCTCTTCTCCGGCGTCACACAATTGTTGCACGTCGTCACCGCCTGTAACAGTTCGATCTTTCTCTTTTTTTTCTTTCTTTTTTTTTCGCACGAATTACGGATGATCTTACAAAATTGAAAGGTTTCACTGTTTTATGGTATTTTATGGTAACGTTAGAACTGACCGAGTGTCACACTAACTAGAGTGTAATATTTGTGACAAGGAAATTAAAGTGCAAGGTACAAGAAAAAGATTTCATTAGAAACTCGAGTGTCTAAAAAAAGATATACTGTTACAAGTACATATAAAATTTCCGTGGAAAATTATAAATTGGTCACTTTGATCACTTTGGTAGTTCTAGTGTTAAATTCTTTTCTTTTTTTGAAATTATCGAAGAGGAATTATTACTGTTCGTTACCCATTTCCAGAAGTGTATCGTAGTAGCTCAACAGAGACGCACGCTGCATCACCCTGTACAATTGAAGTTCCGCTTCATTCTGAGGTACGGACGTCTGCACCACTAAATGATTCACGAAAAAAAGATTCATTGAGAGGCAACGTTTGGCTCAATTAGACAAAGCTGGGACAACAATTGTCCGATTCATTCCATAAAAATTCCAACGACTCATTGTACAAATAACGAATAGATAATATCAATATGATAAAATATAATAAATAACAAATCATTAGATGACCTTTTTGAGAAGTGGATCAAATTTTGTTTATTATTTTTTTTAATATTAGCTCGTGGGTCACTAAGTCAGTGGCGTCACTTGAAAGGGGGGAGGGGAGGATGGTAAAAAATTATTTTTTTTTTTTTGGTTCTCACTTTCATAATCCTCTAAAAAGTTTACGTTTCCTTTTTGTTTCACAACTTTTACTTTCGCAAGTGAAGGGCAAAAAATAAATGTCGACGTCAAAAAATTGATATAAAAGGGGTGGCATCGTGCCCAGTCACCCCTGCACTATACATTAGATGTATATACTTTGTTTCTTAATATTTTTCATCGTCTCTCTCTTTTATTATATAAAAAACTAGCAAAGCTACCCATTCTGAGAATGGGATCTAGCGTGTTTCTTAGTGTTTATTACATCTATTTAATCGTATGCACTGTATAAAATTTTTGGACACAAGTAACTCGTATATAACATTCAAGACTTAAAATACCTATATGTATACATAACAAGTCGTGAATCCTCCATAAAACACAATTATGCATTTATTTTTCACTTTTAAGCTCTAACCGAACACGTGTAATTTTCTGAATATTTTTTGAAAAGAGGGGAGAATTATTTTCGAAAAATAATTAAAATTCTTTTATATACATGACGATAGAAGTTTATAAAAATCAACGCGTGAGTCATTTAAAAAGCATGCGTGGGTCGGTGTCGGACTCGTAGGTCCGCCATCATTGATCTATAGAGTGAATAAGATTGTTAAGAATTTACAAATGGGACAAACGGTCAAATTCGATCCTTCGCGCAAAGACACAGCTCTCAGCTTGCTATTAATCCTTCGAAAGTCGCAATTACACAGCAACAGAAGAATGACGAAACAAAGAAAGGAGAGCATTAAAAATATTCTCCGCGATGAGAATAATTCACGTTCTTCGGGTCGGACCCCCGATGACTCGCCGAAAAATAATTTCCCGGCGCGTATCGACGTATCGACGAAAGGGGTGAATCGGTTGATCGATCGGTTCTATTGGCGAGTCCGGTTGGCCGAGCCGATTCCGGAGCTCACCTGAGCGGAGGAGAGCTCGCCACTCGGACACTATGCGGCAGACGGCCGAGCCGCCAGGGTGTCCGACTAGTTTCTTGCAAATTTCGAGGAACTGCGAGAAAAAGCGGCGTGCACACACGTACAGCGTATAAATTAATACCGGTAACCGCTGGCATGGCATCGGACGTCGTTCTTAAAAGAAAGGAGGAGACGGGGGAACAGGAAAGAAAGAGAGACAGCGACAGAGACCGAGAAAGAGTGAGAGGATCGAGTTGTGTGTGTCCCTTCGGGAAGAAAACCTGCGGCGTGGAGGCGCGACGAGGAGGAATGGATAGAAATTAAAACAAAGGGAAGAAAGACAAAACGGAAGATGAACCGCGGGAGGAAACGAGAGAGGAGAGGAGCAACGACAGAAACGAGGAGGAGGAGGAGGAGGAGGAGGAGAGAAAAAGGGAGATATTTAAGGGATGAGTAGAGAGAGGACGATGGAAAGATGTAGAGAGAGAGAGAGAGAGAGAGGGAGGGGAAAAAAAAGAGAGCGACAGGAAGCTAAGAGAGAACGATAGAGAGAAGAAATGCAGAAGGAGATACGGAGCAATACGGGTAGAGCCGGGCCCTGAAAAACCTGGCCGTCAGGTCTTATTACGAACCTGAGGCCCGGTCTCACGCTTATATACACCGACCGAGATACGAGTAAGTCCCTGACAGCAGCGGGGTGACTCGTTCCGCGAGATTTTTCTGACGTTGGCCCCTGCAGCCACGGGGACCTGAACCCACCAAAGGGGATATGTGGATCTTTCTAATGAGGCGCCGATCTCTCACTCCCCCGACAACCGCGCGCTCTCTTGCGCGAGTTCCATCTTCGATGGACTCGCTCACGCGAACGCCGCCTGGCGCAACGTGCGCTGTTTAATAATAAATTACGCGCAGAAGGTGAAAGACGTTGTTTGTTTAAACATTGGGCGCATTGTTACCGAATTCTGAACCGTGTTTGAAATCAGGATTGAAAATATTAATTTCACCGTTTTCCATTGAGGGGGAAACGAACGATTTCGTCAGATATTTGTTTCACAATGATATGCAAATCTATCGTGAATCCATCACATCGTTGTTACATATCAATATCTATAATTACAAGGGATGAGAAGTTTCTTTGACATTGGAACTATCGACGACCAAGGCGTAAGATTTCCATTCAGGGACGTCAAAGTAAAAAAATAATAGTGAAACTTTGTACTATAGTACACAAGCCATTAATTATGTACCACGCGAGAAATCATTTAAATCTCTAAAAAAAAAAAACACACTGTTTCACGTTTTGTTAAATATGTAAATAAATAATGAATTGATCAGTTTGACCGCTTCGGTGGTTCTCCAAGTATTAAAATAACGCTATGTAGAATTCAAGTATGTGTTCAAGTATGTGTTGAGATTATTTTTTCCAAGTAATAAATCATTTATCTCTCTCTCTCTCTCTCTCTCTCTCTCTCTCTCTCTCTCTCTCTCTCTCTGGAAATCGAAATATTAACTATATATAAAATCGATTTGATTCAAACTCGATCGGAAGGAGAACGAAAGTAGCGTTACATTAACGAGAATAGCCATTTAATATAAAACTAAGAATTTCATTGTCGAAAGGCCACTCGCAGAATTATTAAATAAGCATATCTCGGGATGTAAAATTTTACCGCGCCTTGTCGTCTTATGACATTTTGCAACTTAATTCAAATCTTCTTTGAGTTTCCATTAACTTTTTCATACATACGTTCGTATGTATGTATATACATAAAACGTACGTTTTTACCATCGTCCGCCTGTACTTTTTACTATTTTTACATCCCATCCGAGCATTCTTGAAACACTCCCGAGTATTCTTTCGATCTTCTTTGCAATTAGCTTCTTCGACAAGCTACAGTAATAATGAGATACCGATAACGTTCGTATAAAATAAACGAAAGCCAGACGTGCTTTACAGTATCGAGTGTGTTTTATGTGCCATTCGTTAATTAAACATGAGCGATTTTTACACGCTGTGCGTTCGTCTCAAATATTCATGAGGCCTTTGATCACGCGGAAATCAAAATCAACAATGCCCAATCGATGAGAGTGATTCGTACATGATTTATTGTCCATAAATTTATCAACAACTTCTTAAAAAAAAAGAAAAAAAAAAACGAGCAAATACAAAAAGGCACGAAAGGCAGCTCCTGTTTCTCTTTCATTTCTTTTCAACTCCTCTTATCAAGGAGTAATCTCTTCCATTGCGAAACTTTAATTGATCAAATTAAGGGAAACTGCGAAACGAAGAAGAAACGCTCGTTTAAAAGTAAATCAGATCTCGGTTCTCCCCTTGGAGTAAATAATTTTGCGAGGAATTCCTTTGGAAAAAAAGTAGTCTTCAAAAATTTCAATGTTTCATATTTAATTCGAGCCGAGTCTCGCGAATTTACGAGTTCGAACAGATTCGTTCAGCTCCAACAGACTGTTAAATTTCACTAATGTGTAAAATATCGTCATTCTCTCTATCTCAGTTTCTTTCTACATTTTTCCGAATTAATTCCATTTTGTATTTCATTCTTTCACAGATGTCGATCTCCATATCTATATATAGAGTCTTGTATCTATAATGACGGATACTTTTATACGTCGTCGTGATAAATGGGGATCCCTCGAAAATCACAGAATCGGTATTACGGATATCGGTATTTTTAGGTTACTATTCGATTACGTTTGATGAAACCGAAATGATGCGAATATCGGTATGATGCTATCAAAACGATGTTAGGTCGGTAGATGTATTTCGGTATAACCGGTAAATAAAATATTAATATATTAGAAAAGGAAAAGGAGACAATGATCAAATGTTTTCATAAAGCTGATAGTAAATTCGATGACGCTTATACACGTATCCTTTATTATTTCTAATACTAATTTATCGTTGTATCTCCATACAATATCAGCCACGATACTCTTACTTAATTTTAAAAGATGACCGATTTCTCGATACGGTTTTCCTTTTTCTCAGTGAAAAATAACTAATTGTCGTACGTCGATAAATCGAAAGAGGAGTTGAAACAACGATTAATCGTAGAATGGAAGAATATTCCGCTAAATTATTTAAAAAAAATTACTGGAAATATGCCTAAGCGTCTGCGATATATTATATATTATATATTGAAGTTAGGGGCTACCTAATAAAATATTAATTGTTGTTTATTTTAATAATTTTTCAGGTTCAAATGTCTGAACATTTTTGCCACGCTACATTTCGACATAGTTCTGTTTATTGTTCGATATTAAGAAAAGTATGTGCAATAAATAAATAAAATTTACGTTACTATAAACTATAATGAATGTTCTATTATATTATTAAAAAATCAATCCAAATTCACTATTATAAACAATCGAAATCCACAACGATATTTTGAATAGCACGATGTCCGAATATTAACAAGAGTCACTGTACGTAGAAAATGAGAAATGTGTCCTCGTCAGTAAAGCGGTACCGTACCGGTATGTATTTCAGTATTTTTACCGTTGATGGACATCAAATACCGATAAAATACGTATGAAAATACCGTCTTGTACCGGTATTAAAACCGATTTCCCAAATAGCGGTTATATTACGATTAATATGGGAGCAAATACCGGTATAATACCTAAACCTCACCAATATATCGGTTTCAGTCTCTGAGTGTAATACCTAAACCTCAAAATATTTCGGTTTTCAGTCTCTGAAGCATCGATTCGATAGAACCGAGGGAGAAACGGATAATTCGGCTCATTGTAATCAGGCAATGGTAAGGATCCTCTCTCGCCTCGATCGAGTAGAGTAGCTACTACCTCTGACCGACAGTCTAGGACAGGCGGTGCATTTACATAACAACTTTTTTGGCACGGTATAATCGTTTTTGTCAGCGGGGAACACGTACGCGAGTCGGAGGCAGAGTCGTCACGGCATAGCATCCAATACCGCGCGCACCAGGGACGCGCTAAGAAAAACCTGATCCTACCCGTGGCCTCCTCAGCCTTCCTGGGAACGAGTGCGTGCACGCTGCCACTTCGCCACCACCGAGACTTTTCTTCCTCCGTTTGCCCACCGTGTTCACCGTCGGTCGTTCCGTTTGCTTTTCAACCCAGCAAATTCACGGGTCGCACTCTCGTTCTCGGATGATTTGACTCGTCTCGTTTCTTTCTCCCTTTCTCTCCCCCTCCCCCACCCCTTTGCGCGACTTGCTGTTCGAATTTCTGTGGGAAAATCTCCACGATTAAATCCGACATTTTTTTTTTTTTCGAATTAAGTAATAAACAGCCAGCTCTGATCCTCGATTCTTGTCGTCTCGCTGATAACAATTGATAACAAAAGGAAAAATTCAAGAGACAGAGTGTCTCGAGAGTCATCATCGATCGGCGTGGCCGTGTTGCAACAGCGACGTGGAAGAGAAAGAGAGATAGAGAGAGAGAGAGAGAGATAGAGGAAGAAGCGACGTTTCCCTTCGGGAGTACCGTCAAACGCTTCGAGGAGAATCGATAAGTCTAACGTAATAGATAAGAGAGGAGACTCGCAGGAGACGAGGAAGCGCGATGGATGATGCGGGGATAGGGGGAAGGATTAAGAAAATAGCCGTTCGATGGAGAACGGCGTTACAGTTTTACGGAGCAGAAGCGAACTTTCTATCGCGCATGTCTAAAGCTAATATAAGAAAACAACAACTGGCAAGTAAGTCGTACGTTAGTCTACGTGTCTTCGCGCGTACCTACTCGTAACGTATATATGGGAATTTAATTAAATTAGAGCAGAGTTGCAAATAAACTGACGATCTCTAAAGTCTGAGATTCCTCGTTGCAGTCGTGAAGCATAGGGTGACATGGGGACAATTGATCTTTTGATGAATTAACGTGGAATTGGGTATTTGACAAGAGTCCATGTAGCAATCAAAGAACGCTTTAGGCAAACAATATAAATTTGTAAGTCGATTCCACGAGAAGACGACGACTGTATTATATCGTTAATGAAATTTTCTATTTCTTTCTTTTTTTTTTTTTGCCTAAACTTCATCCAGTTTTGTTTGATCAATCTATCTATACACGAAGGAGGTAACGAACGAAAAAGGAACAGAAAAAAAAAAAGAAGAGGAGAAGGAGGAAGAAGAAGAGAAGTTAGGAGGGGCTAGGCAGAGAAAGAAGTGATAGAAGCGGGTTAGAAGCAGCCATCAGCAGATGAGGGGGGGTGGTCGAGGGTAAAAGACGTTCGGTTAGACGTGGTCTAAAAGAGAAGAGAGACGAGGGTGAGAGCTGAACGAGTGCTATAGCTTCTTTGTTCGATAGCTCACGGGTGCGGACGCTCTTCCGATGCTACGCAAAAACGAGTCTAGTTTCTTAGAAGCGGCCGTTCTCGCGCGGCACCACACACCAGTGCCAGTGGAGGCAGGCAGTGGTGGCGGCGGCGGCGGCGGCGGCAGCGGCAGCAACAGCAGCAGCAGCAGCAGCAGCAGCAGCGGTTAGTATTTCGCTTTTTACTGGCATTGTAATCAAGGAAGGGTTAGGTGAGTTTTTGTCTAGTGCCTCTGCCGCCGCTTGGACAAAACACCGGACAGATGGACTGAGTCGCCGTTTCGATCCCCCTACCTTACCTTTCTGTCCCCTTCTCGCTACTCTCCCGCCCCTCCGCGCTTTATCTAGTTCGCGCTGAAGCTTTTCCCTTCTGCTCTTCTAGCTGCCTCTCCGCTTTTCTTCATCTTCTTCTTCCTCTTCTTCTCCGCTGGTCCACAGCCTCTCCCCTTGGTTTCTTGGTTAGGTTGGCCCACTCCTCCTCTCCTCCCCCCCCCTCCATCCTCCTTGGCTATCTACCGTTCCCGTCCAACAGCCCCTCTTTTTATCCTTCTAGTCTTACTAGGCATCGTGCGCCACCCCTTCTTCGTTCTTCTCCTTCTGCCTCTCTCTTCTTCTTCTTCTACGTCGGCTGGCTATATCTGCCAGCTTTACCTTACCGTTTTCGTTCCCTGCAGTTACCCTCCTCAGCTCCTCCCCCTGATATATACGAGCACCAGGCACCGGGCTCCTCTAGGATACTATTTTACTTATCCCCACTTTTTGCACATGCTCTCTCTCCTACCGACGAGGTGAACTCTCCTTCGACGAGGAGGCAGGAAAAAACTAATTTGCTGGTCAACGATCACTGGCAACTGAAGAGAGAGAGAGAGAGAGAGAGAGAGAGAGATGATGCTAGAATGCCAGGGGGAGAACGTACAGAGGATATTTTAACGAGGGAAACGAACGATTTCTTCGGGTTAATTGTTGCCGGTGGATCTTTGGCTGTTAGGTGGCGCGTAGGTCTTTTTTTTTCTTTTTCATTTTCGACTTTGTTTTAGTTTAATTAGGGAGAAGTTGTCATGATACTTGAGTCTAAAAGTATTCTTCGCAAATCCTCAGGAAAATAGAAAGTAATTATCCTTTTCTTAATCTTACAATGACCTTATGATATCGTATAACTTGATCAAACGATCAACTATAATTCTATAGTTATATAAGTCTATAGTTCTTGTTACTTAACTTATATAGTTATATAAGTAAGCATATAGTATAAGTATAAAACTAATTCTATAGTTTTATATATATATATATATATATATATATATATATATATATATATAAAATTCTATAGTTCTATTCTGTATAATTTTGTATAATTCGTTAGCAGAAGCTTCGATCATACTCTCCTATGACATTATAAAAGTAAGGGATACGGCTCCGATTATTTATTTATTTCCGACGTTGTTTTAATTTAATTAGGAACAAGTTGTCACGATAATCGTTGATTGAAACAATGCCTTGAATTCTAAAAATTATTCTCAGCAAATACTCAGGCAAATAAAAAGTAATTATCCTTTTCTTAACCTTACAATGACCTTATGATATCCTCTAACTTGATCAAACGATCAACTATAATTCTATTCTGTATAATTCTATAGTTATACAAGTCTATAGCTCTAGTTACTTAACTTATATAGTTATATAAGTCTGTAAGCATATAGTATAAGTATAAAACTAATTCTATAGTTTTATATATATATATATATAAAATTCTATAGTTCTATTCTGTATAATTTTGTATAATTCGTTAGCAGAAGCTTCGATCATACTCTCCTGTGACATTATAAAAGTAAAGGATACAGCGCCGATTATTTATTTTTTTCCGACGTTGTTTTAATTTACTTAGGAACAAGTTGTCACGATAATCGTTGATTGAAGCAATACCTTGAATTCTAAAAATTATTCTCAGCAAATCATCAAGCGAATAGAAAGTAATTATCCTTCTCTTAACCTTACAATGATCAAACCTTATACTTGATCAAACGATCAATTATAATTCTATTCTGTATAATTCTATAGTTATATAAGTCTCGTTACTTAACTTATATAGTTATATAGTTACATAAGTCTGTAAGCATATAAGTATAAGTATAAAACTAATTCTATAGTTATATATATATATATATATATATATATATATATATATATATAAAATTCTATAGTTCTATTCTGTATAATTCTGTATAATTCGAGTCGTTCGTTAGCAGAAGCTTCGATCATAACCCCCCCCCGGTGACATTATAAAAGTAAGAGGGTGCAGCGCCGCCAGTGTGTCGATTGGAGCCACGGTGATGAAAACCAGGCATTGTAAATAGGTTATATTCGGGGGTAGAAATACCTCGGTCGACATTGGTTGGGTACCGTTTTTAAGCACGCCAGGGTGGGGCCCGAATTCCATTCCCCTTGCAACGGCCAACCTCCGTCGCTTTTCCATCCCCTACTGTTTAAAACTTCTCTCCCTCCCTTAAGCGCATTTTAAAGTATGGTCGGCCGATTTTGTGCCCGCATACCGCGCCATCGAGAGGGAGAGGAAAAAAAAATGGCAGTCCGTTAAAATCGCAAAACACCCAGGACTTTATTTGGTACGAAGGCGGGATGAACCTTGTCGATCAGGCTGTCGAGTGCGATATGCTACTTACACGTCGTTTTATTCACGGCGCGTCCGAGGTGTATCGTTCGAACGAATTGCACATTTTTCGAAAGTTATTCGAATAAATTAACAATTTGACGAACGAGACAAACTGTACTCGGTGCGGTGGTATTACGATATAAATAAATACAAAATCTGTTCGATAAGTAAAGCTAATTGCTAATAGGATTGTTATTATATTAAATGCAATATATTTGAAGTTATTGCAACATGGATTTCTCTTTTATTTATTTATGATCCAAAGATGTTCGTGGTGGTTGAATTTACTGAACAGTTTGGAATTACCAACGATTAAAGCATAAAATTTTCATTAGAGACATTGAAGACACAGAAAAATAGGGAAATTTTGTAATACTTTATAATGGCGTATGTGTTTTTATTTATGTATTTTACGAAAGGTTATTTAAATCGTTAAAAATACACTGTTTCGTGTCTATAAAATGTCTGACAAAAATTATAAATTGGTTCGTTTTGACCACTTTGGTAGCTCTAGTGTCAAGTTCATCGATGCCAAAAATAAACGTCTACCAACGCGGTTTGAATAAAACAAAAGGAATTGCAAAAACAGCTGTGACGTATGTTCGCGAATCAACGAAATATAAAATATCTAAGAGAGATGGGCCAACGGTTGTATATTTTTACCTACGATTATAATGTTAATTCGTAGACTACGGTTCTGAAAAAAATTCCCTTCGTTTTTGAAAGCATCATGTTTCAGCGTTGATAAAAGTGACTGCACCAATATTTCCATAGGAATTAGCAAAATTCGACGAGTGCATTGGTCTGACAAAATACGCGGCTTTTTCCCTTATTTCTCTCTTTGCAGCTTCTGTAAGGAAAATTCAATTCGCCAGGTTTTAGTTTGTGTTCAATTCTGTAAGGACAGTTGGAAGTCGAATTGAAGTAGCTGCCACAAATACAAAACGCGTGCAAATGCAAACATTTCTCGAGATTTTGATAGCGAAACGAATGAGATAACGATCATATCTGACGGCTCGAGGAATTCTGGTCTGATGCGTTTCTTCGACATTCGGCGGAGAGTAACCGGAGAGTAACGAAAAAGAAGATACTTAATCTAAGTTTCTGTTCGGAGAAACGATGATCCGTCCTCCGTTTGCGGTATGGCGCAAAAATAGACAATCCCGAGACCGAGAAATAAAATGCAGAAACTGACGGTGAACAAAATGAAAGAGTTCGGAGGTCGACCAAAAAGATTCGGCGGCCAACGTAACGAAAACAGATTGAATAAAAAGCCGCACGACAGGCTTCCACCGAATAAACAGGATAAATCTGGATTCCTTCGCAAATAGCGATGAGTTTAACGATATACTTGCATAATAATCGTTTTTGCACCGTGTGTCCCTCCTACCTGAGCGCGGGCCCAACTGACCGAATCGACGTCGTGAACGCGTACCAATCAAATGCTTCGGTAGAGATGAATTTAAACTGTTACAATTTTATTGAAAAGAAAAAAAGGAAAAAAAATTGTAAAATTGACGATAAGTTTTACATAGATAACTTTGAATTTTAAAGCCTGAATTTTATTTAGTTTCAAAATGCATCGTACGTTTAGAATAATCTAAGGTGTTTTATATAGATAACTTTAAATTTTAAAGCCTGAATTTTATTTACTTTCAAAATGCATCGTACGTTTAGAATAATCTAAGGTGTTTTACATAGATAACTTTTAATTTTAAAGCCTGAATTTTATTCACTTTCAAAATGCATCGTACGTTTAGAATAATCTAAGGTGTTTTATATAGATAACTTTGAATTTTAAAGCCTGAATTTTATTTACTTTCAAAATGCATCGTACGTTTAAAATAATCCAAGGTGTTTTATATAGATAACTTTTAATTTCAAAGTCTGAATTTTATTTACTTTCAAAATGCATCGTACGTTTAAAATAATCCAAGGTGTTTTATATAGATAACTTTTAATTTCAAAGTCTGAATTTTATTTACTTTCAAAATGCATCGTACGTTTAAAATAATCCAAGGTGTTTTATATAGATAACTTTTAATTTCAAAGTCTGAATTTTATTTACTTTCAAAATGCATCGTACGTTTAGAATAATCTAAGGTGTTTTACATAGATAACTTTTAATTTCAAAGCCTGAATTTTATTTATTTTCAAAATGCATCGTTTAGAATAATCTAAGGTGTTTTACATAGATAACTTTTAATTTTAAAACCTGAATTTTATTTACTTTCAAAATGCATCGTACGTTTAGAATAATCCAAGGTGTTTTACATAGATAACTTTTAATTTCAAAGCCTGAATTTTATTTACTTTCAAAATGCATCGTACGTTTAGAATAATCTAAGGTGTTTTATATAGATAACTTTTAATTTCAAAGCCTGAATTTTATTTACTTTCAAAATGCATCGTACGTTTAGAATAATCTAAGGTGTTTTATATAGATAACTTTTAATTTCAAAGCCTGAATTTTATTTACTTTCAAAATGCATCGTACGTTTAGAATAATCTAAGGTGTTTTACATAGTTAACTTTGAATTTTAAAGCCTGAATTTTATTTACTTTCAAAATGCATCGTACGTTTAGAATAATCCAAGGTGTTTTACATAGATAACTTTGAATTTTAAAGCCTGAATTTTATTTACTTTCAAAATGCATCGTACGTTTAGAATAATCCAAGGTGTTTTACATANATTTTAAAACCTGAATTTTATTTATTTTCAAAATGCATCGTACGTTTAGAATAATCTAAGGTGTTTTACATAGATAACTTTTAATTTCAAAGCCTGAATTTTATTCACTTTCAAAATGCATCGTACGTTTAGAATAATCTAAGTTTTATATAGATTTTAATATATGTAAGGATGGGTAAGTGAAAATGCTATAATATAAATTATTATAGTAAATTGAAAAATTTTTTTTGTGATTGAATCTACAATGAAATTTGAATAATAAAGCCTTTACAACTACCCTTGACCTGTGAAATTTCAACGTGTGAACTTTTTTTCGCCATTTTATCGCAAGCTTTGAATATTAAGCGCAGATAAAGAAAATCACTTTCGTCTAAGTTTTCAAAGTTAAACAAGTTGGCGATAAAAAGTCGTACAGCAATTTTCGAAGGATCGTTGTAAAAGAGAGGCGGGAAATTTACAAATTCATTCAGTCGTGAAAAGAACTTTTCAGCCTTTTTATAATTACAGCAATTTATAGCACTTTCGAGAACAAAAGTGTTCTCACTTTGCTATTTATTACATATTGCAAAAACATCCTAGAACAAAACGATGTATTTTGAGAATAAAGTATTTTGAAATGAGTCCAAGTTTATTACTATACAATTTTTTTTTTTTTACGAAATTATAACAGTTTCAATATTTAGCATATTAATAAATGAAATCTATTTCATATTCAAATATTTAGTATATTAACAAGAGTCACCTCTTTTGTTTTCAATTATTTCCTGTAATTAAAAGAAAACATTCAAAGCAATTAATTTTACAAAGATCTTTCTCTAAAAAAAAAAAAAAGAAAATTTCAAAATATCAATGCAGATAGAAGGCGCGTAATGATCGCATAAAAAAAAAAATGTCTGAATCTCGTAAACCTTGGAAGGAGCGTTTCCCACGGGCATCCTGTGAATATAAGATTTTTTTGGCAAGTTTTTTCTCAGGCCCAGCGAAGACGAAGCAAAGGGTTATAAGCAAAACATCAAGGGCCAATTTTTTTTTTTTTTTTTTAAATGAAAGCGCTCGCCACTTTTTAGTCTGACCCGTTCAACCTTTACACACAGCGTTTCAACTTCTGCTCTTTACATTTATCTCACGTTTATGTTACCTATCATAGAATATATTCATAAGGATTAGATTTGACATTGCAATTGAAAATCGTGCGATTCTAAGTGGCTCTGTCAAATTGCTTCGGCTTGGAGCGCCCGTTAAAATTATCTTGAAACTATTTCGAGAACGAATCGTAATTAATAAAAATAACAATGAAAAGAAAATAAATTAGTTCAAATAGCCACGATTGTTTTTTTTTTTTTTTTTTTTTTCTAGTAA